CAGTGGCCTGGGACGCAGCCCTTCTTCAGTAGCAGCTCAGGGCTCTTAGCATGAGTGTGCCAGCAAACAAGATAGAAACTACATCACCACTTATGGCCTAGCCTTGGAAGTCATACAGTTAAATTTTTCCCATACTCTATTGTTGAAGTCATGCCAAACCCACTAGATTCAAAGGGAGTGATAGACCTCATCTCTGGATGGGAAGAGTAGCCAGGACATATTGTTGAAAACCTTGTGGGATGGAAGATATTTTTGTAGCTATCTTTGGAAAATACAATGTGTGACATAAATAAGAAATTAGTGACAATATAGATGATTTGAACAATTCAAATGATGCAAATATATATACAGTGATCTACATAAGTTATTACATCAGTTTATTTGCATGATTTGTATATACATACATATTCGTATACACGTGTGTGTGTGTATATATATATATACATATATATATATATAACACTAAGTACAAAATATCCATTCTTCTGAAGTGTTCACAATACCTTTACCAAAAATGACGCTATGCTGAGCATAAAGCAAATCTCCACAAATTTCAAAGGATAGTAATTATAAAGAGAATGTGCCCTGGCCCTAGTGAAACTTACCTAGACATCAGTAACAAAAAGGTAAACAGAGCATCCCCATATTTTGGAAATTAAGCAACACATTTCTAAAAAATAGATCAAAAAAGAAATTCCAAGGGAAATTAGAAAATCTTGTAAACAGAATGATTTTTTAAAATTTATTTATTTATTTATTTTTGGCTGTGTGAGTCTTCATTGCTGCACGTGGACTTTCTCTAGTTGCAGCGAACAGGGGCTACTCTTCGTTGCAGTGCACGGGCTTCTCATCGCAGTGGCTTCTTGTTGCGGAGCACGGGCCCTAGGCGCATGGACTTCAGTAGTTGTGGCATGCAGGCTCAGTAGTTGTGGCACACGGGCTTAGTTGCTCTGTGGCATGTGGGATCTTCCCAGACCAGGGCTCGAACCCATGTCCTCTGCATTGGCAGGCGAATTCTTAACCAGTGCCCCACCAGGGAAGTCCCTGAATGATTATTTAAATCATGCTTCTTATTTTATTATTATTTTTATTTTTTTAATTGAAGTATAGTTGATTTATAAAATATTAGTTTCCGGTTTACAACATAGTGATTCAAAATTTTACAGATTATACTCTATTTAAAGTTATTGTAGGGAAATCCCTGGGGGTCCAGTGGTTAGGACTTGGCACGTTCACTGCTGAGGGCCCCGGGTTCAATCATTGATCAGGGAACTAAGATCCCACAAGCTGGGTGGTGTGGCCAAAAAATAAAATAAAAATTATTATAAAATATTGGATTTATCCCCTGTGCTGTATAAATTACAATTTTTTTAAATGGTATATCAAAATCTATAAGACTTCTGCTTTCCGCCATGATGGAGTAAATGGTGCCAGTTTAGCTTTCCCATTCCCCCATAAATGATTAGAAAACTTTAAAACATATATAAACCAAATGCTGTCAGATATCGCACAACAGACAGTGCAGAACTGTGAGCCCTTGGAGAAAGAAGACAAACTCGTTCTGAACTGTGGTGCAGAGAAGTGGGGAGCAAGTTAGGATAGCCTTGCTGAGTTGAAGGAAACAGAGATTATAGTTCAGGAAGGCTGAAGCCAGGAAAGTGTTCTGGAAAGGAAGGCACTGTGCAGGGAAAGAACTCCTGCAACCTGTGTGGAGGCGCCACTGAGTCTGCACATGGGGAGAGCGAATCCCCATGAAGCTCCACGAAGAGTGACCGGAGAATTGTAATCTAAGTAACACCCAGAACACACACAGAGCAGGAAGACATTTCCATCTGTCCAGCCAGAGTAGAAATATGGGCGACATTCAGTGGAGACCCAAGAGGAGTAATGGTCAGTGTAGGGTCTGAAGGAGTCCTGGAATGAGGCTACTCTTAGGGGGTCAAGCAAAATTTAAAGACAGGCCTTGAAGGTATCAAACTGATAGCCTCAAGTAAACTAGCTGCCAGCTGAAACAGTCTTTAAAAGATGAAAACTCAATCCAGACACTCTGCTTTGTAACACATACAATGTCCACCATTCAACTGAAAAATGCCAGATATGCAAGGGAGGGGTGACTATAACTGGGAGAAAAATCAGGCAGTGGGAGGCACTCAGTAATGAGGGATATGAAGGAACTAGTAGACAAGGACATTAAAACAAGTAATAGAACTATATTTAAGAATTTAATGAATAAATGTGTATAATGAAGTGAGAAATAAAAAAGAAACAAATGAAACTTCTAGAGATGGAAATGCAATATATGAAATTAACTTTTCACTGGCTTGGACTAACACAAAATTAGACACTGCATAAGAAAATATCAGAGAACTTGAAGGCATAGAAATAGAATTCCTCTAAAATAAAATACATAGAGAGAAAAGCGGGGAAAATAAAGAGGTTTTATAATCTACAGGAAATATAGACTGATTTAACACACATCTAATTGGAGACCCAAAAAGCAAGGAGTGTGTAGGAAGCAGAAAATACATTTGAAAAGATAATGGCTGAAAATTTTTCCAAATTTGAAAACTATAAACACATAGACCACAAAAGTTCAATGACCTCCAAACAGAATTCACTTACACACACATGCACACACCGCCCCCCACACACACCCCCACACAAACCAATTCAAATGTATCAAAATCTAATCACTAAAAATAAATGATAGAGGGAATATCTTTATTTTTTAATTGAAGTATAGTTGATTTACAATGTTTTGCTAGTTTCAGGTGTACAGCAAAGTGATTCAGATATACGTATATCTGAATATATATATGTATCTGAATATATATATTCTTTTGCAGATTCTTTTCCCATATAGGTCTTACAAAATATTTAGTTCCCTGTGCTATACAGTAAGTCCTTTTTGTTTATCTATTTTATATATGGTAGTGTGTATATGTTACTCCCAAATTCCTAATTTATCCCTCCCCCTCACCTTCCCCCCTGGTAACCATAAGTTTGTTTTCTATGTCTGTGAGTCTGTTTCTGTTCTGTAAATAAGTTCATTTGTATCATTTTTTTTAGATTCCACCTATAAGTGATATCATGTGATATTTGTTTTTTTTCTGTCTGATTTACTTCACTTAATAATGATCATCTCTAAGTCCATCCATGTTGCTGCAAATGGCATTATTTCATACTTTTTTATGGCTGAGTAGTATTCCATTGTGTGTGTGTGTCTGTGTGTGTGTGTGTTTGTACCTATCTTCTTTATTCATGTATCTGTTGATGGATACTTAGATTACTTCCATATCTTGGCTGACAGAGGGAATATCTTAAATGTAGCCAGAGGAAAAAAGAAAAAGTCAGAAGATAATACTACAGTAGACTTCTTGTCAGAAACTAGAAAAGCCAGAGGCAATTGGAAGACATCTTTAAATATAAAAAGAAACTGTCAACTCAGAATTCTACATCCAGCAAAAATACACACACACCCCCATGAGGGTGAAATAAAACTTTTTCAGATAAATAAAAGCTGACCAAATTTGTCACCAGCAGACCTGCACTAAAATATCGAAGAAAGAAAGTTCTTCAGGCTGAAGGTAAATGATACCAGATGGAAACTTGGGTCCACACAAAAGAATAAAAAGCACTGGAAATGGTAAATATGCGTTTATGCGTTAAATATGATTTTCCTCTATAATTAAATTTTCATTAAAAGATAATTGACTGCCGAGAGCAGTGATAATCAAGGTTTTCATTATAACCCTCCTAAGCAACATTTTTAGGCATTTTTATCTAATTACCCCACGTGACAAGAATGTATGCTCTAGCACAATAATAATAATAATGTAGTGTGGAATTAAAAATGTACGTAGACGCAGTGGTTGAGAGTGCGCCTGCCGATGCAGGGGACGTGGGTTCGTGTCCCGGTCCGGGAGGATCCCACATGTCGTGGAGCGGCTGGGCCCGTGAGCCATGGCTGCTGAGCCTGCGCGTCCGGAGCCTGTGCTCCGCAATGGGAGAGGCCA